AAAAAAGACACATACCCTAGCACATATAAATACGGTTATGCCGGCTACTAAAGTACTGGTTGTAAACGTTCAAAATACTACGGAAACCAGTTAAATCAGTTCTTGCTGAGTCAGTGATGTATTCGACAAAAAATTCAATAGGCTTACAAACATAGTTGATGTATCAACAGTTGGTACAGTTACTTCAGTGACGCATAACCGATCAACTGTTGGCGCGTATTACATAGGACGTCTTCTGTTCTCGATACTTTCCATCAAGCCAAATTGCGCGGCAATAGTGCTTTTTCCGGCATTAATAATACAGCGAAATTTTTTTGTTCTTGTTCCTGTTTTTATTGTCGTCGTTACCGTTGGCAAATTTCCAGTCAGCCGAAATACTGTCATAAACCCGAATTGCTCAGCCGGGAGATCTTTCCGTAGTTTGTTTGATGAATGTTGAAGCAGTTTTTCGGATCGGATGAGAAGAGGCAAATTATAGTGTAACTGCTTTTGATCAAATAGGTTTGCCAGTTAAACAATTTATCTGTTCACCTGTACAAACAGATATATAAATATGATTTTATAGTTAAGCAAATTTTGTTTACTTTTTGCTTTCATCTTACAATCATTCATAGGGAATGCTAACCGGAAAGGCAATAAAATACTTTCTTTTATCATTGTTATATTACGACGTTTTGATTGTGTGGTGTAACTTTTAAATAACCAAAAAGTAAGAGGAAAAAAATTGAATGAAAACAAACAAACAAAACTATAATGTTTTCAAATGTTGATAACATCTAAAACTTATGCATAGTTGTGGTATTAATGTCATAAATATTATGTATTTTGCTTGAATTTAACCCTAACTATTTCTATTCTATTCTTTTGTTTCGTTTCAAAACATTAATTTTCTGTAGACAACTGTAAAATTTTGATACCATTTTTTTTTTTTTTTTTGTTGCAAAAAGACAAAACAAAACAGCATTGATGAGTTGTATCAGATACAGATATTTATATAGTTTGTTGTTCTGTCGTTTGATATGCACTTTTAATTGAGTATACTAAATTTGAAAAAAATGAATCATTTTAAATAATATCAAAAACACCAAAAAAAGGCATTTTTTTCTAATTCACTGAGGCAAAAATTTTGTTTTTTTGTTTGTTTTATTATTTGTGCTAAAAAATTGATCAAAGTGTACGGTAAAAATATAATTTGAAAAAAAAGAGAAAGTTTTTGTTTTGAAGTAATTTAATTTGCAATTTTTTTTTCATTTTCTAAGAAAGATGAGTTTCTTTGGAAAATTTAGTTGATAAACCTCGCATGAGAACAACAAATCAACATGTTTTTAAGCGATTAAATCAAACAATTCTTATGGGAAAGAAAAAGTAGCAAAAATTAAGGAACAAAAAAAGAAAGAAAGGAAAATAATAGGAAATTCATTGCAAAGAAATGTAAGAAAAACTTCCTAGACTAAGAAAATATGGAAAACAGAATTTTGAAAAAGAAGATTAAGAAGAAGAAGAAGAAGAAGAAGGAAAAGGAGACGGAGA